CCAAAAAATTGCCGTACGTGGCTCGAAAGTACGTCGACTGACGTGCTTCAAAATAGGACGTTTAATATGGGAGCATAGCAATAACAACTATACCCAATTTCAAACATGTGGGTCAAACGGTTCCTGAGTTATCGTTGACCGTAGCGAAATGTTGACGGACGGACGGACGGATGGACTTTTTGGCGAGTAGGTCGGGTGAGGGCAAACAAACAATATTTTTATTATGGCCCCACGCCCCCGTACCTCGCTCTAACTGCATCAGGGAGTTGCTGACACGGGTGGCTGCGGGATTATGCGCGCACAAGTCGCATCTTTGCAGGTGTCGCCCTGGAGGCCTAATTAAAACACAGGCGCCTTACACGAGCGATCACATCATACTTATTCCCAATAGGGCCCTCACAGTCAACAATCTCTCTCTCTCTCGCGCGCGCGCTCTCTCTCTCTCTCTCAATAGTACATAATAGAGAAGAGTATGACACTGTTTTGTTTTAACAACGTTTTGCTTAGTTTTCAACTTGTAAATATTCTATCAATATGTGAATAAATATATTCAAACTTTACCTTATTTTCGTCTATGATTCTCCCTTAATCATATGACACCACCAATTTACCTGATAATCGTATGTGTTCTTCAAAAAAGTTCTTTGAATACGACACGGTTTCACACAGTTTTCCCAAACTTTTGCATCTCTGCGGCAAAACTTGATATAGCGGCGGCAGCACCAGGTTGTAACTACGGGACGCTGGGGGCTGTTGAGGATATTAGCAGGAGTAGATAATAGGTAAATAGATAATAGTATAATTATCTACTCCTGATATTAGGTAACCACAGTAACACTAAACAGCACTTGTTTCGCTTCCTAATATCATCAGGAACACGATGGCAACACAGCTCAAATCAGCTGCTAGCTCGCCGTGAGCACACATTTATTTTTAGCACGCTGGAAACGCAATACAAACTGAATACAATTCGATGCCTAATGTCCCCAACAGCCCCCAGCGTCCCGTCAGAGACAATAGAACACTAATACCAGTAATACGATAACAAAGTTTGACCGCGGAGATGCAAAAGTTTGGGAAAACTGTGTGAAACCGTGTCGAATTCAAAGAACTTTTTTTGAAGAACACATACGATTTTCAGGTAAATTGGTGGTGTCATATGAATAAGGGAGAATCATAGACGAAAACAAGGTAACGTTTGAATATATAGTTATTCACATATTGATAGAATATTTACAAGTTGAAAACTATGCAAAACGCTGTTAAAACGGTGTCATACTCTTCTCTATTATGTGAGAGAGAGGAGAGAGAGACTGAAATGAGTGAGAGAGAAAGAAGAGAGACAGAACAGGAGAGAGAAAGAGAGAAGAAAGACAGAAATGGAGATAAATGGAGAGGACAGAGAGGGGGAGAGAGAGAGAGAGAAAGAGCGCGCGCGAGAGAGAGAGGAAGATGCCTGGCGAGTTATTACCGGCTGCTGCTGCTGCTCTAGTAATATCGACACCGTGTTTGCTTGCAACTTTGGACAGATCGTGGTTGAGGTAATGGCGTCGTCGAGCGTGTGTTGACACAGGGTGCGGAGAGACGGGGGCAAGGTCCAGCCTGACTGGAACGTCATTAACCCGGCGAGAAACAAACAGGGTAGCACGTACTGCCACACATGCAGCTCACGGCTTGACACACTCGGTGCACGCAAGCATTGGTGGCCGAGTGACACGTACTGCCCCAGTAGACTCTACTCATGCACGCACGCACGCACTCACGCTCGCACACACCGACGCTTATAACACACGCACACGCACGCACACGCACACACACGCGCGCGCGCACGCACACACACAATGACATATGTAACACACGCATGCACACACGCACACATACGCACACGCATACACACACACACGCGTGCGCACGCACACACAACCTTTTGACTTAAAGTACACGGTCGACGCTAATCAACTAATCGCGGTGAACACACTTACATACACGCTGGCACCTTCATCACCTGTATGTTTGGCAAACACACACACACATACACACACACGCACGCACGCACGCACCCGCACACACACACACACGCAAACACACACGGCGTCGGCTGCTGGAAGCCTACACTAATACACAGTACACGCGGCTACGCAAACATTAGTGGTATGATTACCATCTACCTGCTGAGCTGGCAACACTTCTCCGTTACTGATTTTAGGCAAACAGCGACAATATGTAATAATAACAACCGCAGCACAACACGGTCTATGCTGTGTTACGCTGTGTTATGCTATGCTATGTAGAACGGAAGAGAGCTTTGTTGCGCTTCACATCTAGGATTGCCGCCGACACGTGAGCCATGCAGTATTGCTGCCAGTACAGCACGCGTTATATGCTCCTCCCTCTCTCCTACCCACGCACAGTACTATCTATCCGTATCGCCTACTTCTCCTCCTCTTTCTCTCTCTCTCCCTCTTTCTTACGTATGAGCGCGTGCATGTGGGTGTGCGTGCGTGCGTGCGCGCGTTCTCCGCCTCCTCATTTCTCTGCCCATAACTACCACTACCAGCGGACGTATACAGCACCGACGGGACCATTAGAACAGCATGTAAATAGTATATAAATGTTAAATTTCCCATATTTTAGCCTATCACACTTACGCACGCATGTAAGCATGCAGAGTGTGGTTTGAAATCTGTCGGGATGAATTCAAACGTACATCATTGTGACCGTGTCGTGCGTTGGTTTATGCTAATTAATTTAAATTGCTGCGTCCAACCACCCCCCGGGGAACCAACAAAATATGCACAAGGCGGTACATATCTAGCAGCTTGTATTACTTCAGTTATATTGTTAAACCCGCTGGCGAGTATTTTTTGCAGGCGTACAGAAGCATTTAACACACGCACCCGTGTTATGTATTGCTCGTTTCTTTGTTCATAAAAATTTTTATTCACACTTTTAGCTGCGGCATGTTTCGTATTCACTGGCCTATAAATAAATAACACGACAAGATGAGGTTTTGTTTCTGGGCACGCAGCACAGAGACAGACAGTTCTAACCCTTATTCCAACCTGTAACCCTACACCTAACCCCAACCCCACACCTAACCCTAACCTGTAACGCTACACCTAACCCCAACCCTAACCCTAACCTGTAACGCTACACCTAACCCCAACCCTAACCCCAACCTGTAAAACTAACCCTACACCTAACTCCAACCTGTAACCCTACACCTAACCACAATCTGTAACCCTACACCTAACCCCGACCCTAACCCTAACACACACCCCTAACCTTACCAGGTATAGAGCCATGCTTACCTTTGCTCTGGCTGGTCACCTTGTCGCGGAGCACGTTCAGCTGGTAGACGGGCCCGATCGCCTCGAACATCGCGCGCAGCTCCTTGTCGTCCATGTTGCGCGGGATCTGCCCGACGAACATCTTTATCGCGTCAACGTCCGGCCCATCCTGCTTGTTGACGTGCGCGTGCGGCGGCGGCTGTGGCGGCTGCGACGTCGTCACGGCAACCGCGACCGCGACGTCGGCGTTGGCGTTCATGGCGGGGTACGCTGGCGACGCTGGCGGTGCGGGGAGAGATCTGCGCGGAGAGAACAAGAGAACGGCGCTGTTGAGTTTACGCAATTTTCGCGGTCGCCGCGACGGATTAATTTTTTCTGTCCACGGACTAGCAGCGGACGGGCGGAGAAGATGGAGAGAGGTAATCATCCTCTAGCAGTCACAGCAATTGATTCTCTAGCTGTGAAACGACTCGCAGCGAACGGGGGGGGGATGGAGAAAGAAGATGCCCCCGCAGCGAAGGAATCAATTTCGCGCATGACCGGGTACGCTTGATGACAACAGAGGAAGAGATGAAGAGAGAGAGAAAGAAAGAAAGAGAGAGCTAGATCCTCTCTTTCGGTTATGGCGACAGATGCTCTCTTATACGTGGTCGGATGTAGCTGGCGACAAGCAAGAAGATGGAGTCCTTCTAGGAGACCTCTCTCTCTCTCTTTCGCTCGCTTGCTCGCTCTCGGTTTTGGCAACAGGTGCTCTCTTGAAATCGGTCGGTCCAGCAACAGTGCGGGTAGGAGATGAAGACAGATTGATCCTCTAGGTTCCATCGTAGTGATGGGGGGAGGAGGGGATATAAAAGTGGAAAATCCTCTCAGTTGTAACACGAGGTGTTCAGGTGTTGTCGGCCAGTCTAGAGCGAAAGTCAAAAATAGCAAGGAAGAGAGAGAGAGAGTGAGAGAGAGAGAGAGAGAGAGAGAGAGAGAGAGAGAGAGAGAGAGAGAGACGGAGAAAGAAGGGAAAAGAGGGTGAGATGGAGAATGTGTGTGAGAGTGAGAAACATAGAGAAAATTAGTGAGACAGAGAGTAAGAGAGACAGACAGAGAGAGCGGATAAGAGAGAGAGAGAGAGAGAGAGAGAGAGAGAGAGAGAGAGAGAGAGAGAGAGAGAGGAGAGAGAAACAAAGAGAAAATTAGTGAGAGAGAGGAGAGAGAGACTGAAATGAGTGAGAGAGAAAGAAGAGAGACAGAACAGGAGAGAGAAAGAGAGAAGAAAGACAGAAATGGAGATAAATGGAGAGGACAGAGAGGGGGAAAGAGAGAGAGAAAGAGCGCGCGCGAGAGAGAGAGGAAGATGCCTGGCGAGTTATTACCGGCTGCTGCTGCTGCTCTAGTAATATCGACACCGTGTTTGCTTGCAATCTTTGGACAGATCGTGGTTGAGGTAATGGCGTCGTCGAGCGTGTGTTGACACAGGGGGCGGAGAGACGGGGGCAAGGTCCAGCCTGACTGGAACGTCATTAACCCGGCGAGAAACAAACAGGGTAGCACGGTTACTGCCACACATGCAGCTCACGGCCTTGACACACTCGGTGCACGCAAGCATTGGTGGCCGAGTGACACGTACTGCCCCAGTAGACTCTAATCATGCACGCACGCACCGCACTCACGCTCGCACACACCGACGCTTATAACACACGCACACGCACGCCACACGCACACACACGCGCGCGCGCACGGCACACACACAATGACATATGTAACACACGCTGCACACACGCACACATACGCACATGCACACACACAACGCGTGGCACGCACACACAACCTTTTTGACTAAGTACACGGTCGAGCGCTAATCAACTAATGCGCGGTGAACACATTACATACACGCTGGCACTTCATCACCTGTATTTTTTGGCAAACACACACACACACACACACACACACACAGCCACGCAGCCGCACCCGCACACACACCGCGCAAACACACACGGCGTCGGCTGCTGGAAGCCTACACTATACACAGTACACGCGCTACGCAAACATTAGTGGTATGATTACCATCTACCTGCTGAGCTGGCAACACTTCTCCGTTACTGATTTTAGGCAAACAGGCGAGCAATATGTAATAAAAACCGCAGCACAACACGGTCTATGCTGTGAATTACGCTGTGTTATCGCTATGCTATGTAGAACGGACGAGAGCTTTGTTGCGGCCATTCACATCTAAGGATTGCCGCCGACACGTGAGCCAGTATTGCTGCCAGTACAGCAGCGCGTTGTATGCTCCTCCCTCTCTCCTACCCCACGCACAACACTATCTATCGCCTACTTCCTCCTCCTCTTTCTCTTCTCTCTTTCTCTTTCACTCACTCACTCTCTTCTCTCCTCTCTCTCTCTCTCTCTCTCTCTCTCTCTCTCTCTATCTCCCTCTCTCTCTTTCTTTCTCTCTCACTCACTCACTCTCTTTCTTTCTCTTGCTTCTTTCCCCATCTATCGGCTCAAACTCTCTCCCGCATTCCTAACTCTTTCTGTCTCCTCTCTCGCTCCCCCCCTCTCCTCTCTCTCTCCTCTGTCTCTTCTCTCCTCTCTTTACGTATACAGCATGTGGTATGCCAAACGTTACAATTCCGCCCTTCTCTCTTTCTGCGCCGGAAGAATCCGGCATTATTATACTTATAAAATAATTCTACGAGAGGTAATTCTAGACGATGTTAGATAAGTGGGCGGCAGCCACCGGTTGCCCCCGAGCCGTCTACGGTGTGAGCGAGCGCGTGAGGCAGCGCGGCAGGAAGGCGAGCAAAGCCTCCATCAGATTCTTGTCTGACGCTCAATAAACGCCGTTCCGGCTGGCAGCAGGAGATCCGGGTAGAGATGCAGAGAAGCTGCTGCCTCTCTCTGTTTTGGCTCACATCCGAGCTTTTGAGGGAGTCACATTCCTGTGGTTTCGACGAACGAGGCGTAACCCCTCGCATAACCGTGGTCTGTCCCCATGCACACCCGCCCTCACTGCTTTCGCTCACGACAGCCCATAAGTTATGAACCACCCACAATTATCACCCTAAACCTACCTTACTCTACTCTCTTTTACCCTACCTCTACTCTACTCCACAAAACCTACCCATCCTCTACTCCACACTACCCTACCTACGGCTACTCCACACTACCTTATCCTACTCTACTCTACTCTACTCTACTTCCACTACCTAACCCTACTCTACCTTACCCTACCTACGTTACACTACCCTACGACCTACCCTACTCTACTTTAACACTACCATACTCTACCTGACCCTACTCTACTCGTTAACACTACCCTCACCCTAACCCCTACTCTACTTTACACTACCATATCTCCTACTCTACTTACCCTACTCTACGTTACACTATCCTACCCTACCTACTCTACTCTACCTTAGTTACTCTACTCTACTTTACCTACCCTACCCTACCCACTCTAACTCACTTAGTTACCCTAACTCTACTTTACACTACCTCTACCCTACCTACCCTACTCTACACTACTTTACCCTACTCTTACTTTAACTACTCTAGATGGTCTCCTACCACGTTCTCCCAGTTACCGCGACGATCGGCAGGGTATTGTAAACTCTGCACTGAACAGATCAACTTACTAGTTTCACCCTCCACCCTGGTTCCTCTGCTCACTCTCACTAGCTATGTGTAGACTCCCACCATACACCCACATTCCCACTCCCCACCCACCTCCTACCCCACCCCAAAATCCCCGTTCACACGCGCGACGTCACCTATATTTCACACGGAAGGGGTTTCTGACGACGCTCTACATCCACATTCTTACTCGCGCGCAGCGGCCGCGAGAAAGAGAAAGAAAGAGAGGAGAGAGAGAGAGAAGAGAGAGAGAGAGAGAGAGAGAGAGAGAGAGAGAGGGGGGGACAGAGAGAGAGAGAGAGCGATGAGCGAGAGAGAGAGAGAGAGAGCAGAGACGAGACAGAAGAGAGAGGAGAGAGAGAGAGAGAGAGAGCGTTGTCAAGGGTTTTAGGACGCGCATCTCCATAATCTAACATGTCAGTGGGCGCTTTAAAGACGCTGAAACATTTATTCGCCGGCATTTCGCGACGAATCAGTGCGGATAAATAGGAAAAGCGAACGCGAAATTGACACATAAATTGGAGTCGGGCAGTTTCTCCCCAGCCAAGCCCGGGTTCACAGCGCAAGGACCGAACGAATAACTCGAGCACGGGGAGGAAGAGGAGGTGGTATTTATTTTGCGATCTAACGGAGTAATAACGGTGGGATAGGGTATTTTACGCGTTGAATAAATAAACCGAGTGTGTGGATCGGATTACGCCCGAAGGGATATTTTCGTTCGATTATTTATTGGAATTCTTTTAGGGTTATTTACATTAATTAGGCGTGTTTTTTTCTACTGACAAAATCTAGGCTGCGGGACTGCCAGCAGTGTAGCGACCGGTGTAGCATGCAGGCGCAGTTATCTTGACCCAGCTTATTGGCCCTGCGCGGGGTTATCCCCTAGGAATTGGAGAGCTTTTACTTTTAGTAGCAATTTTCGGTGGGTTATTACTGAATTGACCAGCTCAACGTCGGAAAAGCATAATGGGACGATGTGGTGACTAAGGCATTTCTCTGTCGTATCAATGATTCCAATGAGAAATCATGAGAGTGACTACATACATGTAATAAGTGTACATCAACGTAATTGGTACTTGCCGAGCAGAAATTATCTCTTATATGACGTAACAACAGGCTATTGATAGCGCTATAATGTTTCTTCACTTCATTTTAAAATTGCGCTGTCCATTAGCATGCGTCGTTAAGATAAATCCAGTGCACACAATACACGCACGCACGCACGCACGCACGCACGCACGCACGCACGCACACACACACACACACACACACACAAACACAACCGCACGCACGCACGCACTTGATTCGATTTCAGCGACACAAAGTCGACCGGTCCGAGTTATGTATTCAGTAATCATCCTGCGAATTGCGTATAGAGCTCTTGAATATATTTCTTGTAGACGGTACGGAGTTTTACAAATGTAAATGTAAATGTAGAGCGATTTTTTTTTTAATGAACAACCCTTAGCTGTGTAGCACTGGAAGACGCTACATAACGTGCGTGAGAGGCTGGCAATAGATAATCGTATGGGCAGGGCTATAGACCCAAACCCGAGGTGTACACATAAAAAGGTAGCGTTATCCGTGCTTCTAGAAAGAGCCTCTTCCACACACAGATCACCTCAGGAGAGTCGCTTAGGACAAGCCTAACAAGTATACCGTGTGCTGTAGA